TAACGACGAACGATGGAGAAACGAAGGAGATCACCAACAACAACAAAAATATGAGACACACGTACACACACGGAAAGGGGGATTAAAGGAAAAACAAAAGATAAAGATGATGAGAACTTTTGCGACGCTCTCTCTTCCTCGCTCTCCTCCCGCTTTTCTCTTCCTCTCTCGCTGTTCCTCTCGCGAAAATCGGAGTGTAGGATTAACAGGGGATTCCCGTGTGACAGACAAACAAGAAAGCAATTGTTGCGCAATTCTTTCTCACGTTGAATATCGATTATTCGGGATTAAACGTTCTTTGGATTTATTAAGGGAGGGTTTTGAGGTGTCAACCCTTTGCACTCAGAGTTCCTTTTACATTTTCTTTCTGATGATTTTGTTATTCGAAGTGTTTCGTTCGAACAATTCTTTTTACTGAGAACAGTACAATAACGTAATAGAATTTTAATAAATATAAGATTGCGGAAGTCTTGAAATCCTCTTCGCCTGTACGATCATTAGATACATAAAGTATGGAGAATAAATGAGTTATGGTGTTCGAAAGAAAACTACTTTTTTAGTGAACTTCGACGAATCGTCAGTGAACGAGCTGTAACTTCTTTATCTTCTGGAATCTGTCTTCGACGATTTGACAGTGCGCTGCTGGAACGCTGTTGCTTTCTGTAAAAAGACAATTGAATTTTCGAACCTGTTACACGGCAATCCCCTTGGGGAAAAGGTGTACAGAGTGTTCCTACTACTTGTCGTTGTTGTTTCACGATGATCGTTGACGAGAGCGACGAAATTGAGAGGCATTGGACGAATCCCGACCGGAAAATAAGAAATTCTCGCCATTATAAAGTAATGATGATAATAAAAAAGAAAAGAGAACCCGCTCGAAAATGCCTGCGACATTCCCAATAATAACATTCATATCGTTAAACCACACGGAGATGTCGCCAATTGATTAACGAACGAATTGATTAATTGATTAATTGATTAATCGATTAATCGATCGATCGAGGCGCAGGAGGATTAGGAATTAAACGGAGATCTATGGATACACGTTTTAATTGTAAATCGATCTGAATGTACCGCGGACCGGAAGTCGTGGAATCTTGCGCTGGGACCGGAAGTCTCTGGATCTCGAGATCACTGAAACCTCGACGTTTCGAAATTACAAACCACTACGTCTCCAGGCTCTTCGGACGATGAATTCATGAATTGGAGAAGTTTATGGATCTCCGGGTCCGTTGCCTGCGAATCTTTGGATCTATGAATCATTTCGTATCCGTCGTCTGCCATTTCTCCACTGTTCTGTACAACATTCTTCTATTCTTCTAGTTTTCCAATTCTCAATCGACGGAATCAATATTCAATTACCTATCAACAAAGTCAACGACTTTCGAAACTAATCTATGTCCTCGTAACACTTTGACTGCCACGAGAAACTTGAGCGTGTATCACTTCCTTCGTAGTAAAAATAAAGAGCAACGATTATCAACTATTTGGTACACAATTGTTAGGTTACACTATGATCAAGTTGAATATTTTCATTCAACCCCAATTACCTTACGAATTATAATTATTTTCAAGTAATGGAAGCTGGACCACCGTGGCAGTCAATGTGTTAAATGAAACTTCAAACGAGAATCTAAATGCGAATTGAAATAAAAATTAGAATGAAAATCTCTACCACAGAAAACGTGTCCAAACCTATAAATAGATCTCTGGATCCCTAGATCCTTGGATTCGCGCGGCTTCGGACTCCCGTATTATAAAACAAATCCTGGCTCGTCCGAGATCTGAAAGATCTCCGAATGATCCACGAATCGTCCAGATTTGTATCAAAGAAAAGAAAGAAAAGAAAGAATCGTTGTTCCACGATTTCCTGGCTACCTCGTATAGTTGTAAAGAGACACACTGTATACACGGACACACACACACGCGCGCGCAGACGCACGCGTACAGACACACACGCGCACACAGGAACACGTGAATCAGCATTTACATCGATATTAGAAAGAGTATGACTATTGATAAATATGGTAGAGTCAACGGCAAACGCGTAAACTTGTTGTGCGAATATATACGTTTAAATGTGTTGTAAACACTCGAGCGCGAATCGCCCAAGCCGCTGTTACCTTTTGTACTGACGATCAGACCGCGGACGTTTATGAGATTCTCAGTTTTCCCTCGGGCTATCGAAATGTCTACGGGACACGGTTGTTCACGCTCCAATAGAAGCTCACCTTTCTCGACGCGTTGCCTGTCAGTCATTCGAAACCGGAACTACCGAGCAATTGGAATTATCTAGACGGAATTCCTTCTGGAGAATTCCGAGAGTATTTTCCATGGGATTCCAAGTGAAACCTGTAGCTTCATCGTATTCCTGCAGACATATTTACAATCACTGAATTTCGTTGTTGAATTCATTCTCGAGTTACATCTCTGCATTCGTTTCATTTCTCTAAATTTATTTTACAATCTCGCACCTTCGGAATTTGGACAATTGTAAGATATTTTCAGATGGATTCGATAAGTGGTTCCAGCGTCGAATCGCTAACAGTCAATGATTAATAACTAAGAATATTGAATGAAACAAATCTCTATAGAATTCGACGCTAGAACCAAGCGAAATCTGTCCCACATTTCCCTACAGAGACTCCAATTAATCTAAATCAATTCGATACTGCTTATCTTAACCCCTTGCGATATGTATCTCGCGAGGAGACTCTCAAACGAAAGTCACCCAATAAAAACCAACTAGAAAACCATCAGTTCTAATTCCAAACGAAACATCACATTTCTATTCTCAATTCCTATAAACCTCGATTCACGGATAACCCGACGAAATAGTTCTCTCAGATAAGAGAAACCACGAAGCAAGGGGTTGATTCTACAAAAACGAACTCCAGCATGCATCAGTTCGACCCATCCGGTAGTTCTAGTGTTAAGAATCTTCCGAAGTGTTAGCGAGCATCATAGGCAAAGCGTCGATCGAAATTTCGCGTGAGATTCCTCCGGAAGTCGCCGACGGTACGGCCAATCTCGCGCGAAGCTGCAGCCACGCATAAACATCCGCAGTCTACTGTTGATCTATCACTCTCCCCGACGAGAAACGCAATCATCGAGAGTTCCGATCCGTTGGAATAAACTTTGCTACCACCACCGCCACCGCCGCCGCCGCCGCCGCTGTGAATCCCATTGGCCATGGGAATCCCCGGGAGATCCTCAACGACCGACCGACCGACTCGCGCGGACACACAGACACACGTCGCAGCCGCAGAAAATCATCAGGGCAAATCGCAGTCCGAGAGAGAGAGAGAGTTAACACCAGCGTGTACTATTCGACACTCGTTCTTTCAACCCTCCTAATTACATAAGTAATCTTATATACCTTTTCTTATCCTCGTTGCTACGGGTCCGCGTGTGATGCTGTAGTCGCTCGTTAAATTTGATTAAAATATTAGAAACTGAAAGTGCCGCCTTCTACAATTTATTCGACACCTTCTCTCTACCACCGTTGTGCTCCGAGCGACACGTTAACCCGAACATGATAGCCCGTGCAACCCTTTAACAGACCGTCTTGTAAGTCTCATCGTTTTTGCAAGTTGCACGACTGCCGGATTCAGCGTCGCGTGCGATTAACACTGGAACTACCGAGCTGTCGAAGTGACTTTCGTCGAATCTCTTCGTGGAACATGCGAGAGTGCGTCGAGATTTGCTTTTGTAGTCTCGTTCGTTGTTGGGAAGAGATCGTTCCTCGGTGAACCGTTGGGAAACTGAAGTTTTACCGATTCTATCCTGCGAGGTGTTCGCTTTCGAACGGTTGGAGAAAATGGTTCGAGAATATGTTTAGAAAATGTGTTTAACGCGTTTGCTACCAACGTCACATTTCGCGGCAATGTTGTATTTCATGTAAAGACAATTCAATTGTTTCTGTGAATATTATTGTTTAAAGTTATAACTCGTTTCTGTTTCATTTCTTCAATATTTTGTTCAGATTTGCTAAAATAAACGCTGGTGGTGAACGTGTTAGGTCTTTGGAAGTGTTGCTGGATATTCAACACGTCGAATGCTATGGGGACCCGTGAGAACATTGAATTGTGATTTAATTGAACGAGGACTTGTAGCAGATTTGATGTTATTAATAACGATGCGTATTATATATAAAAGTTTGATATATTTCCTTCGTTTCTTGCGGCATTCGACGTGTTGATAAATATATACAAGGGAACCTTTTCAACTAACACGCCGATTTTAATTACATGTTCTCAAGAAAATATTCGAGACGTTCTTATATCCACTTTAAGGGTGAAAACACCGCTCAAAGTCGAAAGTTGGAAGTATATTCTGACAATATCTCTGAAACTAAGGGGTGCAGTAAAGAAATCTGAATCGTCTTATGGAAATTCCTTTGCCACGCCCCTTAATTTCAAACTAGCGCCACGAGAAATACTTGTTAAGGGCTATCGCGTCCCACCTAATGTCCCCTCCGATCTTGAAAACTCAACAGACGTGTTTCTAAATCTATTCGATAACCGAATCTACTCTAGTAATTCTGATCAACAGGAATGAATATTGCTCGGTGGTTCCAGCGTGAAACACTGGAAGCTCTTAGCCTTTTAAGCGCAGCTCCACTGGACATTACAAAAGCGAGGAATAAAGTGTCTGTCATCGAACATTCCGCCGATAAATGTTTCACGAGGAGTACACGACACCGAGTACCTTTCACTAGTGCAACTACAGAAACAGTAATACTCATAAGACACCTGTCCTCCCATCAGCACAACGATCACCGTCGATAACACCATGTTCGGGTTAACAGTCGATAGATTCCTTTCACTGATACACCGACTTTTTCAGGTTCCAGTGGCAGCGTCGGCGGCGGAGGAGGTGGCAGAGGAAGAGGAATCGGCGGAGGTCCACCTGGAATGGGAGGCATGGGGATAGGAGGAGGAGCTGGCCCGGGGATGCTGGGTAGAGCAGGTTGCTTCGGACCGCGCGGAGGTCCTCACGGAGGATTCATCGGCAGCAGCGGTGGTCCAGGTGCTCTGAGGATGGAGAAGATCCACCCGCACCGCTTCAATCCCATAGGGATGGGAGGCGGCTACGTGCAGTCCCATTTCTGGTGACCTAGCGTCGAGCAGCAGCAGCAGCATCATCAACAGCAGCAGCCAGCGACCAAGACACCGTCGGCCACGTACCTTTCTTCGTTTCAACGGAGACAAACCAGCAACAACTGCCGTTCGTAATCGCCGAGCTAGGGAATGATCTCGAGGCTAACTTGACGCGTTCGATCGTGGATCACGCGGGAATAGGTTCGGAGTTAGCGTGACGCGCGACGATAGGTAGCAATATGTTGATCAGTGTTGTCCGGGAGTTTACGAACGGCAGCGACAGACTGACCACATGTGTAAATTATTCTGCGCGTATTAGTTATTTAATGTTTCTACGTGCCTGTACCAAAGCTCGCAACACCTAGTATTGTACGTCCAGCGATGGGCAGATATATTCCCTCCCTAGAACGTAGGAGCGCGAATTGTTATCGGACACGTCGGGTGCCGCGGACATTTCTTATCTTTGTATAGTTCGAAGTAACTAGCGCGAGAAGTAACGCTGCGTGTTCCGTGGATTATAGGTTATTTATGTTCGAGCTAAGTCGGTGATAGTTGAGGCTCGACGCATTGCGGACCGGTAGTTTTATTGCTAAGTTTACCCAGTGGACAGACACGGTTCTCCACTCTAAATGACAACAGTGAGAAGAGGATTCCCGTGATCGGTCGTCAGCTGTGAAAACGGGAGACACGGGAGTCCTTGTGATCCGTCCGCAATGCGTTGATTGAAGTGTTGTATCGTAGGGGACATATCTTGAAGCGTAACAGACGCAGCGAAAGGAATGTCACGTGGATTCGGCGCAGCACTCGACGCGTTAAAACACAGGATGAAGCCGAGCGGTCTTGAAAGTCTTCCTTCGCGGCGCTCGCTGGCGAATGGGGTTCTTTCAAGATTTCCAAGACCCTCGGCCGACTTCGCGATTCTTCAGCCGGCGAGCCTGAAAGTCTTGAAACCGTTTAGGAGGTAATAGTCGTGCTGTTTAATAGTCACCGGTTCTTGAAGCTCTTTACCATTCTCTTTAACCGTAAGTTATTGTACTTCTCTCTGTCGTTTAGTCACCTTTTGCTCTCATGTCTCTGTAACACTCGCTCACAAGGACACTTCAAGACTTTCAGCGTGTAACGAACGGACTGCGGACCCTTTATGCAGGTGTAACACGTTTGTCGGGCTCATTTATGGAAATCGGGATCGTAGGACGATTGTAGTCGTGAATTCTAAAATAGCACAAGTTCATTTTATTAGGTTGTTCGCCGGAGTTGTCGAAGGAGTTACTTAATTTATATTTAACACTAGAACTGCCAGGTCAAAATGACCCATTCCTCGTTTATTCTTTCATAATAATTGAAAGTATATGAACGCTTCTTCAAGAAATGATTAAAATAATTGATTTATTAATATACGAGTTAAAATATAATTTAACTGCCACCTTAATCAACGAAATTCTATGGTTTCTATACAAGAATGTTTAAGAATCAACTCAACTGCTCGGTAGTTCTAATGTTAAACAAAAGTAACACTTAGATCTGTTCGATTCAGTTTAAAATTCTCGCTATAATATTGTAGATCAAGAATCAACAAATTAGGTAATGAACAAAGATGAAAAGGCAAATATTTTCGTGAAATGTTGATTCGACTTGTGCCGTTTTGGAATTCATGGGCTCAGTTCCCGTGTACTCCGTTCAGGGTTTCTGTTCTTTTATTCCAAAGAAGATGGACAATCTCATTGAAGTCTCTAATATTTTAATCGAACGTTCTTGAATCTTCGTAAGTGCATAAAATCCGCAATCTAGTAACGAGATTCCCTCTCGCGAGGCCCGTAATCGTCGCTTCTTTTTAATTGTTAACAAAGCCCGGTTCCCTTTCGTCGTAGCTTTAATACCGCCGTACCGTTGCGCCGCGGATTCCGTGCGCTGTTCAATCGGCCCAAACGCCCGCGAACAATGCTCGTCAATCGATCCTCGAACAGCCGACGCCGGATCACTATATGTGACCCGCGATGAAATTTTAGTCGCAGACGAACACTCCGCAAAACCAAGCTCTGATGTACTAAGTTTCATAGTGTAATAATGTGTCCAGTACGGGGCGGACAGGATGCGTGTTCCAGAAATGGAAATATATTTCGTTTGTTATTTTATTTATTTACATAAATTAATTTATTCACGCGTAGAGCTTTATACGTTATAACATTAGAAGCGGGAATCACTCAGAAACAGGTGCGACAGCTGAACCATAGAATCACTCTCGGTACAGATGCTATACAATGTTAGTAAAACAAAGGAATAATGAGAGGTAGAGATTTCGTCGATTAAGATTTCTGTCCTCGGACATTCTTCGAGTTTCTGAAAGGTTAATAGATATTCTGCGTCAAAAATCACCTGGTATCGGCAGATACAAAGATTAAGGTCTGAGAAGGCAACAAAGATTTCTTTGAGCGATGGCACCGTCGGAATTGCAAGACATGATGCCGAGCACCGTTGGAGCCTCGAAAATCGCGTTTCCGTAGAATTTGTAAAATTGGCTGG